TGCATGACTCCAAATGGGAAGAATTAGCTGCAAACATTAATTAATAATTGGAACATGGAATGTATGAAGTATGAATCTCGGAAAATTGGAAATTGTCAGAAATGAAATGGAACACATAAAGATTCATATCCTAGACATTAGTGAGCTGAAATGGACTGGTATTGGTCATTTTGAGTCAGTCACTCATATGATCTACTATGCTGGGAATGACAAATTGAAGAGAAATGGTGTTGCATTCATGGTCAAAAAGAATATCTCAAGATCTATCATGAAGTACAGTGCTATCAATAATAGATAGTATCCATATACCTATAAGGAAGACCAGTTAATACTACTGTTATTCAAATTTACACACCAACTATTAAAGTCAAAGATGAATTGAAGATTTTTACCAACTTCTGTAGTCTGAAATTACATACAATCAAGATGTGTTGACAATTATTGATGATTAGAAAGCGAAAGTTGGAAATAAAGAAGAATCGTTGGTGGGTGGAAGATGTGGCCTTGGTGATAGAAATGATGCCAGAGATCACATGATAGAATTTTACAAGAGCAACAACTTATGCATTGCAAATACCTTTTTTCAAGAACATAAACAGCAGCTATACATGTGGACCTCATCAGATGGTCCACAGAAATCATATTGATTACGTCTATGGAAAGACGTGATGGAGAAGCTCAATATCATCAGTCAAAACAAGGCCAGGAGCTGACTGTGGAACAGACCATCAAGTGCTCTTATGCAAGTTCAAGTTGAAACAGAAGAAAATTAGGACAAGTCTGTGAGAGCCAAAATACAACCTTGATATGCCATCTGAATTTGGAGATCACTTGAAGAATAGATTTGACACATTGAACTGAAGACCAGATGAGTTATGGGTTGACATCGAGAACAATCTGTTCATTATTTGGCTTTCCATAAATATGATTTCTCTCCTTTCATCTTGTTTACTTGGCTGAGCCATCATTTAGGGTTTTTGTGAACCTTGTTATTTTTTGTTTAAGTTGGGGCCTTAAGAACTTTATGAGCTATTAGCTTTCTCAATTCGTTCAAATATGTGGTGTTTTTGATAGTACTAATTTCTGGGAGAAACTCTTAGGCAGGCCCATTCAAACTTTGCTTACTGTTCAGTCTCAGTCCGTATGGTATCTTTGGTTTAAGCCAGACCAAGTTTCAAATCTTTTACAGCTCTCAGACAGATTAGAAAACAAACATGAATCATGCTGGCCGCCACTTCCCAAGGGAAGACTTTTGTCTTTGGTCACTACTCCCTCCTCGACTCTGAGGAATCCAATTCCTGCCAAATCAAGATTCAGTCCTTTAGTAACTTTGAAAACTAACCAGAAGTCACACACTGGTTAAACCATCCTCAGGCAGGTCTATCCCTCAGTTTTTGGTTGCTGCTTCCTCCCCCAGTTAGACCACAGCTTCAATCTTTCAAGCTGCTTCCAGACCAGTCAGAATGTACACCCTGAAGTGTACATTGGGAACATCTAACTACATTATTTCAGAGTCAGAGATTGAGGCCCTTCCAAGTGCACAGGAGAGCTAGCTGCATGTTGGCTGGAGATGCAGGTATAGTTATGGCTCCACAGCAGCCATCAGTCTGCTTCTTAATGTGGGTGGATGGTGGGGACATCCTGAATTGTTCTTTAGGGAAATCTGACCAACTTATTTTGGGTCCAGACATTCAGAGACTTTCCCATTGCACAGGGGGGGCATTCATTGATTAGGAGTGCAGTGTGGCTGTGGTTCCCCCTTAACCATCCTTGTGCTGTGCTGGGAGGGGAAGGGGCTAGACTAATGGGATAAGCACTCTTTCTAGCTTAACAGATTTGTTCCTGTCTTGATTCCATTTGCACCTCCTTGCTGCATTCTCAGAGTTCTCCTTGTTGTTATGTGCCCTTGAGTCGGACCTGACTCATAGTGACCCCTCCTTGGGTTTCCAAGGCAGTATCACTACGGAAGTAGATTGCCCAACCTTCCTTCCGAGGAGTGGCTGGTGGGTTTGAACCCCCAGCCTTCTGGTTAGCAGTCAGGTGCCTTAGGCACTATGCTACCAGAGCTCCTAGAGTTCTAGGCCTGTTTAAAGATTTCTAGTTGTTTTTCATGGTATTTGTGTGGGAAAGGTCTTATCTTAAACTTGTTCATGCTACCATCTTCCTAGAATACTTTCAAAGCTAACTTTTTATAGTTGAAATATTTAAGTCACCACTGGATTTGATTATGTCTTCTATGTGTTCTTTTGTTCTTTAATAGCCCTTCCACCACCAATTCTCTTTTTCCTTGTCATTGGTTTCCTGGAGAAACCTTACCATTTGTTCTGTTGACAGACCCACACTGAATTTGCTTGGTTGGATCTTTGAAGTGGTTTAACTTCTTTCTTTATTTCCTGTTTCCTGGTAGTTAGAACTAGAGGCTTGATTAGATTCAGGTTCATTTTTTTTCTTTCTTTTTTTTCAATGACAGTAGTTCCCTATAGGTGGCAGTAAGTACAACCTATTGCATTATATAAAGAGGCACATAATGTTTGGTTGTCCTACTTTTAATAATGCTAAGACTGATCAGAGGATTCAGGTGGTGTCAACCTGATATGTTCACTGTAACTAACAATCTTAATCTTATTTTTCTTTTATGATTTTTTAATATGCATTGATGATTATTGCCTAGATCCATTATTTCCTTGGGGATTGCAGAATGATGATTTTAAAAATATATCATTTTGCATTTTTAGCTAAAAATTAAAAAAAAAGAACTTACCCTTAATTATTTTACTAGTCTGAAATACAGTTAGCACAAGAAGAGCAGATTAAATGTTTGATTTCTGTCCTCATTCTTTATCAGTTTTTAGAATAATAAATTGGATTTAGTTGTCTCCAGTGATGACCAGTGAAGAGTTTGTTTGCTTTTTGTGTCATTTTAATTCATATATATAATATATATAAATAAAATTTGTGATTATTTAAAATGTTTAATGAAATTTGAGGAACTACTTGCATAATAGTGCTAGATGTTTCAGGATTTAATCTTCTAAGCATAAGCATTAGATAATCATTAACCATAGAACAAGTAAAAATGATGGCTCTTATTTTTCATGCATAATATGATTAATGGGAGCTCTGGGAGCATAATGCCTAAGGCACTTGACTGCTAACCAGAAGGCTGGCAGTTCAAACCCACCAGCCACTCCTCAGAAGGAAGATTGGGCAATCTACTTCCCTAGTGATACTGCCTTGGAAACCCAAGGAAGGGTTGCTATGAGTCAGTTCCGACTCGATGGCATATAACAACAAACAACAACAACAACAACAATATGATTAATAATTATCAATATTTTTGAGCTTAAAGACTTAAGACAAACTAGGCTTTAAAACATAGTGTTTTACTACATTGAATACCAATTAAAATATGTTGTTGTTTTTAGGTGTCATTGAAAAAATCCTGACTCATAAAGATCCTGTGTACAACAGAATAAATCATTGGATGATCATGTGCCATCCTCACAATCTATGTTTTAGCCCATTATTGCAGCCACTGTGTCAATACATCTCATTGAAGGTCTTCCTCTTTTTTGCTGACCCTCTACTTGACCACGCATGATGTCCTTTTCCAGGGACTGGTCTCTCTACATAATATATCCAAAGTACATGAGATAAAGTCCCCCTGTCCTCACTTCTAAGGAGCATTCTGGCTATACTTCTTCCAAGACAGGTTTGTTCGTTCTTCCGACAGTCCATAATATATTCAATATTCTTATCCAACACCATAATTCAGAAGCATCAATTCTTCTTCTTTGATCAATTCTTCATCAGTTGTCCAGCTTTAGCATGCATATGCTCAACCTCATTGCCACTGAGTTGATTCTGACTCATAGCAACCCCCATTGAGTTTCCAAGGAAGTAAATCTTTACAGAAGTGTATTGCCCCATCTTCCTTCTGCAGAGGGCTGGTGTGTTTGAACCACCAGCTTTCTGTTTAGCAGTCAAATACCTTAGGCACTGCACCACCAGAGCATGCATATGAAGTGACTGAAAAGACTATGGCTTGGATCAGGCACACCTTAGTCCTCAAAGTGACATATTTGTTTTTGTTAACTTGTATATTTTTTTTATATTTGATATGTTTTAATCCATGGCAAGTCATTATTATTTTTCGTTCTCAAAAATACTTCGTGTCGGCTGTTCTCTCTTCTTTGAACAAATGATATTTGAACCTTGGTTTGTCTAACTTCAGTGCTTGAGTTTTTCCACTTATTATGGTTGTGCCTTCTTGTAGGAAGGCTCTAAGGAATGAGTGAAACTTAAATAGCACAATTGAGGGATTTATTTGGTGAGATGGGGGTTTGGTAAGTGGGGTATATTCTTTGAATGAATATAGGATTAGCAGCAGGAAGTCAAAGGGCAGTTGTGACTCCAAGGCTTGGGTGCAGGGAACAAAGGAAAATAGGCCAGAGAGGTAGCACACAGGGCCTTACTAGCTTAGTTGAGGGATTTGGTTTTTAATACTTATGCCGTGGACTAAAAGTCCATTTTATATCTCACATGAGATTGATAGAAAATTATTCTCTAGAGTGAACTCTCTTGAATGCCATTTTCATTGGACTTTGCAAAGAAAAACTCAGCTGAGTGAGTTAATACTTTCTAAAGTAAAATCTCTGGAGAGAACCACCATAGAATGGTTATTAACTAAATTTCTCCAGGCTCTGTAATCCTTAAATCTACAGTTTTTTTCAGATGTGATATACTTACCTTGAGTTTAGATCAGTGTGATGTGTGTATATTCATATATATGTGATTAATGTAGTGATGACCAAAAGTATATTTATATAATTTATTTCTGATGCCTCACTCTTTTATATCACATGATATAATTGACCTGCTGTTACATTATTGTTGTATGGAAGTATTGGTGGGCTTTATCATATCTTAGTATAAGGTTTAGCTAATGATCTGTTTTTGCTAAGTTCTACTTACTGAATTCTAGGGCCTCATGGTTATGAATGTGCTTCAATTTCATAATGCCTCCTGCTATGGCAGACATTCTTGACATCTGGGCAGTGGATTCACAGATAGCATCTGATGGCTCCATACCTGTGGATTTCCTTTTGCCCACTGGGATCTATATCCAATTGGAGGTACCTCGGGAAGCTACCATTTCTCATATTAAGCAGGTATGGAGTTTCTATAAACTTGATTTATTGTGTCACTTAGGGGAAAATGTGATTCTATTATAGAAAATGTTATAAATGTAAATCATATGATAAATTTGAGGAACGTTTAAACCTCAAACTTTAATCCAAATGTGATAGCTGAATTAAGAAATTGATTTATTTTAAGGGGCTCTAGTGGCATAGTGCCTAAGGCATTTGACTGCTAACCAGAGGGTGGTGGTTCAATCCCACTAGCCACTCTTCGGAAGGAAGACTGGGCAATCAATCTACTTGGGGGGCATTGCTATGAGTCAGAATCGACTCCATGGCAGTAGGTTTTGTTTTGTTTTAGATTTATATTAGCTAATTTGAAATGACTTTAGATTATTAAAAGGAGTTTAACCTTGTCAAGGAAACATTGAGTTAAAAATCTTTTTACTTACTGTCTTTGAGTTTGTTATACATTTTTTTCTACATGTAATTTTTGGTTGATTTCTTTTCTCTTTCCTGACTTTCCACCACTCCCACGCATTTCTCCCCTTTCATGATAACTCTGGGGTAAGACTTTTCTGCTGTTTGCTAGGTAGATTTTTTTCCCTCCAGTAATAAATGATATGCTTTTATTTGGAAACAAATTATTTTACAAAATAAGTCTTGCCTACTATGTTGGATTGCTTTTTCAGGTAAATTGATGAGTACCATTGATTTGTGGGGACTACAACATGTAAATGAAGTTGGGATTCTGAACCTTCTATGTAATGCTTTTCAAATAGCTGAGCATGTGAAAATCAAGGATCATGCTATTTTTAAGAAATAACATTTAAGACAACCCTTTTTAAGCTTTTGATTTTGGGCAAATTTCTCAACTGTTTTCTAAGCTTCTTCACCTGGAAAATATGAAAAGTTTAAAATTGCATGATCCTTGAAGAAATAAAAAAGAAAGAATTGTCTTAGGCACCCCGTAGGTATTCAGTGCGAGCTCTGGTAGCATAGTGCCTAAGGCA